TAGAAAAGTGTATTCATATCACATATGGAATTTTGCACATAAAAATTTGCTTGAGGACAAAAATCACAGCCTCATGGACTCTTTTGGGAACTTGATCCCTTAGGGCTTCACCCTTGGCTTCACTGTGGGATTGCCCAACTTGTCGTTTTTACTTCTGAAGTCACACAGAATAAAATTGGTTTCAATAAATCCACGCACAAATTCCCTTTCTCATATCCAGTACAAAAACCGTAGACCCATAGACTCTTCTCAGAATTAGGGAAAAAACAATTGATCATCTGATGCAGTCTTCCTTGTCTTATATAGTGTGTTGGGAGCATACCTAATTTTGTAGAGGGAGTTGGTCAGTGGTGCTCTCTCGGGCTTGTGAGCATAAACCCTAACTGGCATTTAAGTTCTTTAACATGTATGTATGTATTAGCTATCTATTGCTACACGTCAAGATACCCCCAAATTTAGCAGCTTAAAACAAGTAAACATTTATTATCTCACACAGTTTCTGTGGGTCAGGAATTCAGAAGCAGCCTAGCTGGATCAGGTTCTATGTCAGGGTCTCTCCTGAGGTTATAGTCAGAATGTCAGCCAGGGCTGCAGACATCAAGTCTTGCCTGGGGCTGAAAGATCTGCTTCCAGGATGGCTCATTCACGTGATTAGCAGATCTGTGCTGGCTGTATGCAGGAGGTCTCAGTTCCTCACCATGTGTACCTCTCCATCATGCTACTTGAGTGTCTCACATTGTGGCAGCTGGCTTCCCCTAGACCAAGTGATCCAAGAAAGAGGACAAGGTGGGTGGAAGCCACAGTGTCTTTTATGTCCTAACCTTGGAAGTCACCATTATTTCTGCAATATTCAACCCTCTTCGCTGGGGGAAGGGACTATATTAGAGCAGGGTCACCAAGAGGCATGACTGATTGGGGCCATCTTGGAAGGTGGCTACCACAGTGTATAAGAATGGTCTTATACCTTCCTCCCCCGAAGCTGATTATTCTCTCCATTCCCCCTCAAGTCCATCCTTGGTTTGCTTGTTTTGTAGCAGCATCAGAAGGGTGATAATGGGCATCAGCTTCTAGGAAACTTGGAAGTCAGTGAAATATCAGCTCCATAGTTGTTTCTAAAAGACTTGTATCTCTGTATACCCCATATAGACTGTTTGAAAATTAGAAAATAAAATAACTAAATGTACTTTTAATTCTTATCATAGATTCACTGATCTATTTTAATGTAGTAACCCTTTTAAGATAATAAAAATAGGCTTCTAGAAATCACAGTGGATTATGTAGGGGTTAGGTCTGAATGAAAGTCCCCTTAAGCTCTTTTCTTCCTTTGCTAGGAAATCTTTTCTGCTGTCCCCTACTGCTCATGAAGGTCATCATTCCTTTTCTCTGCTCCCTCTGTGCTCAGCTCTCCCACGTGTTAGCTCTGCGACCTTGGGCACATTACTTAATCTCTTTGTGCCTCTATTTTCCCATTTGTAAAATGAGGGCAATAATTGTGCCAATTTCTTGGAGTTGCTGGGGGAGCTGAATGACGTGCTTGCAATGTACTTAGTGTGATGTCTGGCACATTGGTAAACACTCAGATGTTAACTGCTGCCACTGATATTTATTGTGGTAGTGATGGTGGCTATTGTAGTCACACTAAACTATAAATGTATGTATTTTTAGTTGTCTCTTTCACCTTTCCATTTATTGAACAATTACTATAAGCCAAGTACTATGCTAAGCACTTCATAGGCCTTATTTCATAGGTAGGTGGTATTATCACCATTTTACAGATGAGGAAATTGAGGGGTAGGGACGTTAAATAACTTGTTCCAAAATCACACAGCTATTAAGTTGTACACCTAGGTCTCAGACTCAATAAAGGTTGTGGAATTGGATTAGATTTAAGAAAGATGTATCAGTATCTTTCTGATATATCATATATCAGTGTGAATTTCAGAGGAACATCTCAAGACTAGCTACTTGAGACTGTACAGTCAGTCTTTGATTATTCGTCATTGGATTGGATGCTTTATAATCAAAAGATCTGAGCATATCCTTTAAACCCTAATGCCAGGAAACATTACTTTTACCAACACAAATGTAAAGGGGGGAATGCAGGAGAATCAAAATGAGCTTTGTTGCTTTTAAAGAGTTATTGTTTGAATGTTTGAGAAGAAAAGCTATAGAAATTACAGTAAACATCCAAATCTACTGACAATTTATCAGAATTTTAAATTAATGAACATTTTTATTATAGAAGTCTCATGTTAATTCAGTTGTGTAAAATAAGCTTACAGAATTGACGGTGGGAGCAGAATACTCATGTACCAAGAAGAACTGACGAAATGTAGCTTTGTTCAGTCAGTGGGCTGGGCGGTCCGTGGAGCTCCTATTGAGTTTGTAGAACGCACGGTTTTTTTGTTTTGCTTTTCTCCTCCCTGTCCTTTGTCTCCCTCTGAAAAACAGAGGAACTCTGTTTTTCTTGGCAAGGAAATTTGATTTTAAGTGGAGTTCATTGCCCTAGGCAAAGGTTTTTTTTTTTTTGATGAATGAGTACAGTGCTATGACTTTTGGTATCAAGGATATTTGTAATCAAAATAAGTGGCTGTTAAAATTTTACTCATAAGTGATTTGGAAATAATTCAGAGAAAAAATATGAGATCATTAAATTACAAACCTGAGGAATAGGAGTGCCTTTTCAAATTTTATTGTTCAGAAGGTGAATTCGTTTCTGGTTATATGCCCACTTAAAAGCTTGTGCTTTTTATTATGGTCATACAGGCAGCCTTGAATTTATCCAAGGAAAGGGAGACTAGTTTAGGGCATGTCCTAAGCTCACAGGTAATAGCCAGTGAAAGGACATCTGCAGATAGTAGCTCAAGAGGATTTCGCCAAAGAGCAAATGAACATCATGGGCTAGGTACCACATCCTTGAGCTCTGGTGGATGTTGCCAATGTAGCTGATGGCTGCCATGGCCAGAGCTGCTAACAGTGCTGGAATGTGTGCTGATGTCATTGTCAAGCAGATCAATTCCTGATGATTGGTGACTCTCTTAAGTCCTGGGGAAGACCAGAATGTGACAGTTTTACCTGTCGTCTTCACATGCTGAAGATGAGAGCAAAGTGCTGTTTGATGATGATCGTGCAAGGTGCTGAGTGTCATCCAAAGCACAGGAAATGCTACAGTGAGCTTGGATTTGTGAGGAACATTATAATTCTGAGATAGCTCTAGGGCCTTTCAGGCTTTCTCTGGACTGTTGTTTTTAATGCAGCCTGTGCCTAAATTAGGAAAAAGAATGTTTTTCTTGAGAAAGGTTTACGGGAACCTGTGGCCTGGACAGGAATTGATGTTAGGTGATATTGATGCACAGAATTTGGATGATCGTTGAGAGTAAAACTCCTGCTAAAGAGGGCCTATCCAAGAAAAACTAGGGGTCGTGAATGAAGCATTAGACACAGTTACTTACTGATTATTGGAAAAGGCTGCTTATCTGCCTTTGGAGAATAGATTCTATGTCATCTCCTCTCTCCTGCCACCTGTCCATGTGCCATACCGATGAGTGAATAGGACTCCATGCCATGGTCAATATGAATCTCATGCATGGACCCTGATGCATAATGTATACACTTATTTGCATGAAAACAGGATTAGAAGCAGCTGCAAGTGTTTTGAAGAAAATTAAATGAATTGACCATAACCATTCAAATTCAGAGATATAAACATTTCTTCCTCAAAGTCTGAGTTAAATGTGTGTAAGGGTAAATTGTTTTGAGGGCAGGATAATCAGGAATTTAGAAAAGAAGTGAAATTTTTATAGAGTGGCCATTAAAATGATAAACTGAATAGCTAATCCTTGTTAAAGAGTTCCTTTGTGTCCTTGGGGTCTTTTGTTTCTCACTCTAATGAAAAAATTCAAAGTAGAAAGATCCAAGGATCACATGTTGCATTCAACAATGACATTGTTTACTCTACACATGATAGGACATGGGAGAGCTACAGTCTCCATAGAGATGAAACTTGTGGGTCTGTTTTTTGGTGTTGCCAGCCTTGATGGCCAAGGGTGGTGTGACTTCTAGGGAGATGGCTTTTGGAAGTTGCCCATCCCAGTCAAGCTACCTCTCTTCTTGCTCAGGGCTTAGTGTGAAGTGTTGGGGAGAAAATTTGCCCAGCAGTATATTCCCAGTCACTTGTGATGGCTGGGATGACAGAGATGCAACTTGACTAACCACTGAAACGGCAGTCCGTTGCCTACCCAAGATGGAGAGCCAATCTGGACACAAATGCCCACTTAAACGTTAGTGGATGCTGTGAAATAATAATGGACCTTAAAAAGGGGGTGGGAGGGTTAAAGTTGGTTGTCAAGTCATACATATTTCCAAAGGATTAGGCAAAATAAGCTCAGTGCCAAGATATTTGACTGTAAGATGCTTTATTGAATTGAATAAGTGAATTTGTACTACAGTAGTTATTTCTTTTTTGCTGATTGTCTTCCATTTCTATGAATAATGAAGAGGGACTGTACTTAGAAAGCAAGCAATGAATTTGATTTATGCCTAATGCTTCTGCCTATCAACACTGACCCATATTACTTTCACTGCCCCACCCATTTCACCCACTTAAGCAAATGGCATATTGTAACATGGCTCAGAATTTTTAGCAAGTTTTCCCAGCTGTGCATTGTTCATTTATTTTCAAGTGAGCTAGACTCCAACTGAGTATTCATGCACAGCTAAGCCCAGCTATAGCAAGAGCTTTGACAGAAATGGTGTCTGGCTCCGAGTCTGTAATTTATTCAAAGACACTCTCTTCCCTGCACCAAGACCAGATCAAGGTGTGGACTTAGTTCTAAGCAGAAAGAAATTCAGATTTCATAGTATTGGCCATACTTAAAACAACATTCTAGATACAGCTTGAAAGACCACACAGCTCACAGTTCACAGTTGAGACAGTGTACTTTTCTCTTTGGGGTTTTAGAGCATTGCTCATACTCTCTCTTGGGGCTTTTGATTTGCAGATGCTAATGCTGGAGACCGTGGACAGACCAATAACGCTGCTTCTGCATCAGCTTCCAACTCCACCTGAGCAAGTCCCGAGCAGCCAGCTGCACAGGAGAAACCACCAGTTACTTGAGTGTCACTCAGCAACACTGGTCACGTTTGGAAAGAAAATTAAAAAGAGAAAAAAAACCTGTTCATTTTAGTGTTCAATTTTTTTATTATTGTTGTTGTTCTTATTTAACCTTGTAAAATATCTATAAATACAAACCAATCTCATTGTATTCTCACTTTGAGGGAGATCCAGGGGGTGGGAGGGCTTGTGGGGAGGGAAGCGGAGCACTAGAACACACAATCTCTCTCCCACGACAATCTTTTTTTTATCAGAAGTCTGCTGTTGTATACTTTAAAAACAGGACTCCTGCTTCATGCCCCTTCCACAAAATAAGAAAACTTTGTTCTGTGCTGAAGGTTTTTTGAACTTGTTTTCTTTTAAAGTCAAGTGTAAGACTTTGGTATAGTGCACAGCTTGAAATTGGTTGGGAGCTTTTAGCAGGTGTAACTCAGTGGGGACTTAGTGTCACTTGTAAAATTAATCCATATCCTCGGGTGTTTGAAGACTCGCCTTTGTCGTGTTGGTGGCAGGTGTGGCAGACAAAAAGGAAAGTGTATCATTTGTAATCCAGGGAAGTCAATAAAATTGCAACTTTAAGGGGAAGATTCTTAATTGATTTGTCTTTTAAAAAGGTTTTGTTTTGCTCTGAATTAGTGCTAGTGGTGAAGAAACTTAGTAGGAGGCTGTCAGAGGAGGACCGTGCGTGCTCCATGGGTGGATCTTGGTTTGCCTGACCAAAGGTTCTGTGCAGATCGCAGTACAGTTTTAAACTAGTGACCTAGGAGAAAACTGAAAAAGGTGTTCAGCCGGCCACTCTGGCTGCAGAGGTCAAAAGCTGATGGACCTCGAGGAAAGGGACAGGCCGGGAGCAGATCTCACCACTGTGAATGAATTTGTCCAGATTGTTTTCTAAAGTTGCTTCCCTTGGAAAGATTCACTTGAGGACATTATAGTTAAATAATGTGAACTGTAACAATCTACTGGTTTATTTTTCCTATTTTTAATTGCAAATTGAGCTTGCAGAAATTGCCACGTTCTGCACATAGTTCTAATTTAAAATCCAAACCAGAATCTGTATTTAATTTCAGCTTTTTTTAACCTCATGCTTTTTAAATTTTATTTATTGATGCATGTCAGATAGGCCACTATGATTTTAGATGGTAGGAATATTAAAAACTACACATCAAAATGATATGAACAGTCACTTGTACCTGCTGACTTTATAGGAAAAGCCGATTATATAAATATGTGTATATATGTTATATATACATAGATTCAATACTGCCTTTTGTTTTTGTTTTTTTGTCCACAGTATCAAAATAACTGGTTGAAGCATGAGAAGAACATATACCCCCCTACACCCAGTTACGAGTTTTTGTTTCTGTTTTCTTTGTGTATCAGTGAATGGTGTAAGAATCAGTCTCTGTTTTTGAAGAAAAAGCAATATTCCTTGGAAAGCAAGGAGGATTGAAGGATTATGTTTGCAGTGAGGAAATAGATTTTCACAACAACTTTGTTTTATACTTTTAAGGTTGACATCTATGTGGGCCTTATATACTCTAAAATGAACCTTAGTCACCTTGGTGCTTATGGGCCATTACTTGACCTATGAATCTTTAAGGCACAATCAGTTGTACTTTACATGTAAAGATTACTTGAGTGATGGCCGCCTTTCCCTCCTCCCTGCTCCCTCCCCGCACACCTTCCAAGGTTAGCTGATAGCTGTGGGGCTGCAGAGCTGAGCCCTAGACTGTGTGACCTCCTTCCCCCTCCTCATTGCCCCCTTTGGTCATGTTCGGAATCTCGCCCTCCGGGTGATTTGGAAGTAGAGTCTCTTGACAGCCCTCACGCAGGTCCCAGCACCCTGTCCTGCTCTCCAAGTGTGTGTGACTCTCCCAGAGGGTCCAAATGCCTGCTGAAGTGAACCAGTACCCAGAAAGGCAACTGTGAGCCATCCTAGTTTTCACTCACTCTTTGGCTAAGCTCTTAGGCCACAAGGGGGCCTCAAGATTCTCAAACCTCTGATTATATGAGAGTTCGTGAGAAAGGAAATACACTCAGTCAAACCAAATCAAACGAACTTTACTTTTCATAATGAGCTTCTGAGAGCTCATTAAGATTTGAAAACAGTCTGAATCAAAGTATTTGGCAGCATGATTCCTAAAGGGAATGGCTCTGATAGACGATTTTCAGAAAGGATTTATGAAGAAGCTGAACAGCAGGTCTGTACAGAGAAATGGACCTGTGTTCAGACCAAACTGCCCCGCCAAACATTTGGACACAGATGCTACTCTGGACTTGGTATACTTGCTGGAGTCCATAAAAATCCATGCTTGTTTTAGGAAACACTCCCCACCCCCCACCATAAATGGGGTAAGAGAAGAAGAGAAAGAAGGCAGATGCTTTTTTCTCACTTTATTGTTTGTGTGAGGGCTGAGGTGGGTGGTTTTTCTTTCTCAAGGATCATGACAGGATCACAACTCTTTTGTACAAGTGAGATCCAGGTCTCTGAATATCTTTTTGTAAATAATAATAATAATAATAATAATAAAAAAGCTCCTCACCAAATTCAAGCTTGTACATTATATTTTCTTTCAATGTTTTTAAATTTAAGTTTTATTGTTTTGTATGTAAATATGTGGACCCAGGAACTGTTATTAATGAGCAAAAAGTTACTGTTCAGGGCAGTGATTCTGTTTAATAATCAGACAAAATGTAGACGAGCTTTTTAAAGCCATATAGTTTTAACTCTGTACAGTAGGTACCGGCCTGTATTATTGTAACAATAACTCTAGCAATGTATAGTGTATCTATATAGTTTGGAGTGCCTTCGCTGCCATGTATTTGTTTTTGTTTTGGTTTTGGTTTTCATTTTTGAATTTTAATTGGTTTCTCTATCCATGTCTCCCTGTCCCACCCTTTCCCCTTGAGATAGTAGCTCACTCCTAACACAGTGTCTTTGCCCCTTCCACGGTTAAGTTGCAGTGATGCCGTGCTCAGGAGTGGAAAGAGGAAACCATGTTCATAATCTCGTTTCATTCACGCCCTCCCTGTGTTCTGATTCTGAGCATCTGTTTCCTCCTCGGTAGCAGTGACCGGTTTCATTTCATACTTAGTCCATCCAGGGAGTTAGAGTAGTGCCAGGGAGCCCTAGAGCTGGAGGATAGCAAATAGATTAGCTTTTGCCTGTCTTCACCCCAAACCCTAACCATGGATCTTACAAACAGCAGATTGCAGGAGCCTTCCATGCTCTCTCTCCTCCTTACCTACTTCCCTTGCAAATGAGAGAGAGAGAGAAACAACGGGTTTTATAAATCAGAGTTTCTTAGTAGTGTCAGGTTTTGATACGTCAGTGGTCTAAACTGCTCTAGTGCGATTACTAGGTTACTGCACGGGGTGCCCCGGGCCCATAGAGGACTGTTGTTTTAGCCCATCCCTCCCTCCTGCCGCTTCCACCCCATTCCATGAAATGTCATTATTTTAATTAAAAAAAAAAATCAGTGTAATTCTTACTGTGTGCCCATCATGAAGGCCTTTGTTGAAAGAAAAAAGTCAAGATTATTTGTTTTGCCTCCAAGTACTCCATATAAGATGTCTTGAGTAGAAGAAAAAACAAACTTTACAAAACCAAAGGTTGCTATTTTTGAAACATCGTGTGTTCATTCCAGCAAGGCAGAAGACTGCACCTTCTTTCCAGTGACATGTTGTGTCATTTTTTTAAGTCCTAATTTTTAGACACGTTTTTGGTTTATGTTTTAACAAAGCCTGCCTAACCAGTCATCTTGTCTGCACCAATGCAAAGGTTTCTGAGAGGACTGTTGTATTCTCTATCCCTGTGGATATAAAGACACTGGCATTTCATTTCTTTTTCCCTTCCCTTTTTAAAGGATTTAACTTTGGAATCTTCCAAAGGAAGTTTGGCCAATGCCAGATCCCCAGCAGTTTGGGGGTTTTTCTTTGTTTTAAACCAAAATTGTATCTGATTCCTCTTGTTCATGTTAGCCATCATCTAATCACAGAGCCGAACACTTTCTCCCCTATATAGAAAAATGAACTAAGCGTGCTTTACAATAAAATCTGTCTTTTCTGGTAGAAGCCTGAGCCACTGAAAATAAGAGAGACAACTAGAAGCACAGTAGCGTCCCAGACTAAGTTCTATGTTCGAGAGGCTTTGAAAGTAATCCCTGGGGTTTGGATTATTTTCACAAGGGTTATGACTTTTGTTCAAGTTTGTTGCTCCGTTTTGCACCTCTGCAATAAAAGCAAAATGACAACCAGTACATAAGGGGTTAGCTTGACAAAGTAGACTTCCTTGTGTTAATTTTTAAGTTTTTTTCTTACTATATCTGTCTACAGGCAGATACAGATAGATGTATGAAAACGTGCTTGCCTGTAAAATTTGCATTTCTAAATGTGTTGCCGATGGATCACTTGGGCCTGTACACATACCAATTAGCGTGACCACTTCCATCTTAAAAACAAACCTAAAAAAATTTATTATATATATATATATATATATAAAGGACTGTGGGTTGTATACAAACTATTGCAAACACTTGTGCAAATCTGTCTTGATATAAAGGAAAAGCAAAATCTGTATAACATTATTACTACTTGAATGCCTCTGTGACTGATTTTTTTTTTTTCATTTTAAATATAAACTTTTTTGTGAAAAGTATGCTCAATGTTTTTTTTCCCTTCCCCGTTCCCTTGTAAATACATTTCGTTCTATGTGACTTGGTTTGGAAATAGTTAACTGGTACTGTAATTTGCATTAAATAAAAAGTAGGTTAGCCTGGAAATGAAATTAAAATTCACAAGTGTGTGGTCTTTATTTCAGTACCCAACTCTCTTCTTCACCCTGCCTATTTTGTCACTGCAATATGTAGTCACATCACCGTCTCCGTTCCTCCAATTAGAGAAACATGAACCTTTGTTATAAAAATCAAGATACAAACATTAGTTCTCATTCTTTCCAATGATCTTATTCCATTGTGTAGCCCCAAGAGGTGCAGCTTCCATCTTGGAAACCTTTGGATTTGATGTAGAGGAAGCTTTGCAGACACTGCTTTGAAAAGAAAGAAAATCCCTTAAAGGGACAAATTTTTAAAACGTGTATAAGCTGCTGTCTTTGATTACTATGTTCATGGTTTGGTGTAGCTGTATTTTCTTTTAACTTTCATCCCACTAGTAATTGTCTTTGGGAGTATCTGGAAAATATATGAACACCACAAACAGTGGGGCTGTACCTCCCGGGTAACCAACACATGTTGTGTTTTGAGTCTGCTCATTTCCAATCCTGGATGATGTATGTAAACATGTTATGTCTCTTAGTGCAAAAAGAAACAACATTTTTTTAGGGCTGGCTCACTCTGTCAGGCCTAATTTAAAGGCTAGATATAAAGTCATGTGACTGCTGCTTCAATAAAAACATTTATATTGGATAAAGTCTGGTCCTCTCCTTATTTACTTATTTATTGTGGTGGTGGGGCTGGCTGATTCCACTAATATTTGTAAAGTAGATACATTTACCAGTGTGTGGGGGTTTGGGAGTATCAGCGCTAACATGTAAGATGTTACTTGTGGGATGGGCCTCCTGATGGCATTGAAGTGCATTTGTTTGGGATTCACTTAACACAGTGTGTTAAATGACCTACAAGATAGCCTTTTGACTTAAAATCCTGACAGATTGCATTTCTGATTTCTAAGGTCTCCCAAAAAGTACTGGCCAACCAGTCCTTTGAGATCCCATTTCAGGAGAGCAGTGATAGTGATGTCATTTCAGAAGGTGTTCTAGAAGGATGACAGTTGGGAAAGGGAGACATCAGGTTGCAGATCCCCTTCATGCAGAAGTTTGCAAAAGAACTTGAACACGAGTGATGGGGTGGTCACCCATTTCTCAATTGTAGGATTACTTCACTCACCCACTACCACTTTCAGATTTAGGAGAGCTGTGGATATGAAAAAGGAGAGTGTCCAGGGAAAAACTGAGCTGTTGTGGAAGGTGGCATGATGAGGCCCACATTGTCAGAAGCTGGGAAGCGATGGTCACTCAACTGTTTCTCTTTACATCGTCTTGTCTCCAGAAAGGAGAGGCCACCCTGGGCCTTCCCCCAAGAAAGACTTGTTGATGTCAAGGCTTTAATTAGATCCTTAAAGTCTGGCCCAGGTAGGGATTGGCTACTGGGTGGCGCTGACTAAAGGGAGAGCCAGAAGGCAAGCAGTCACTTACTTAGAAAGTCTTTTCTCCTGAGCTTTGGAGATTGACTCCATCCTCACCTTACTGAGGCAAGACCTAGAAGAAGAACGGTGGCCACAGGGATGCCTGGAAACTGATGCTGAGTTCTCTACACTCAAAAGCTCAGGGAAGGAAGTAATGAGGAAATCCAAGTGTTTGAAAGTAGGAAAGTTAATCTGGCTCCTAGTCCTATAAACTCAAGATCCACAGAGCTGCTGAAAGGACTATCCTGTGTGAGCTTTTTGGTGCATCTAACCTTGAATCTTAACTACACTTAGTTTTTATAATTTATAAATCATATGTACATACCAATTCAATGTTTGGGGAACTGCCCAGGTATTTTTAAAATCCATACTAGGAGCTGGGAGTTTACATCCCATCTTAACATCCCTTGACCTCACCTTACTGTAGCTGACATTTAACAACCGTTTCAGGCTCTTCAATGAATAGCACACAAAATTATTTCAGTGGGGGAGGAGAGAGGTGTATGATTTATGAATACAGTTGAATAAAACTTGCATTTCCAAATAAGTATATTTAGACCAAATTCCTGGGGGTGAAAGCTGTATTCATTGTATTTGGAGAGAGGAGCTCTTTTATCCCTCAGTTTCTTTTCTAAAAATGAGTGTGTTCTGTGTCTCCTTGATGCAGAAGAGGCTGGTAAATGTGGAGGGTGACAGGGAATATGTTTGCTTGCTTTGATTTATAGTGTCAATGATTTCTTATGTTCTCAAAGTTTGGCCTGCTTTCTGTAAAATAGTAAAAGCTAAATGAGTATCTGTTCCTTACTTGTAGCTTCATTTGCAACAAAATGAGATATTTAAAGTTAATTCAGTTACTATATTTTTAATTATGGTATGTAAATACTTTAAATTTTTATATAGAACAATCATCTTATGAGCAAACCAAGTCAAATCATGCATTTTTATCTTCTTACAACCAAAAGTCTTCAGATGTGTAAAGGTCAATAGTAAAATAAATAGTAAAAAAAATAGAAAAACGTCTATTTTCCCACCACTGCATTTCTTTTCATTTATTTTTTGGTGAGGAAGATTGGCCCCGAGCTAACATCTATTGCCAATCTCCCTCTTTTTTGCTGAGGAAGATTGGCCCTGAGCTAACTTCCATGCCCATCCTCCTCTATTTTTATATGTGGGATGCCACCACAGCCTGGCTTGATGAGCAGTGTGTAGGTCTGTGCCCGGGATCCAAACTTGCGAACCCCAGGCCGCCAAAGCGGAGCCCAAGAACTTAACCACTATGCCACTGGGCCGGCCCCCCCACATTTCTTTTTTCCCTGGAAAAGAAGGCAAAAAAAAAAAAAAAAAGATTTAAATCTCTAGCCAAAGTTAATTATGTAAGTCTTCTTAACTTGATTTGACATTAAACTCAGGAACATATTTGCTAAGCCTAGTTCTTAGGTGGGGAATGCCTTATGTAAAATTAGTTAAAACATAATGTGTGGAAAATGCAAAATCATTTTATTCAAAATGGCTATAAACAAAGCAGACACTTTCATACTCTTTGGCTTTGAAAATAAATGTGTAAATGGAAACATGGTGCATGCATATCCAGCACATTTATTAACTGCCTGTCAACGTTGCCGTGTCACAGAGAGCACCCCAGTGTTCCAGCCTCGGGAGCAAACCCAAGCCCCAGTTCAGATGTGGGGCAGACACACACGTGCACACAGCCAGCTAGTGCCCTTCCTGCCACGAACACAGGTCCCAGGGATCCATCGGTCGGGTCCCCGAGTGCACAGAGAACCCAGCGTAGCTCAGCATCCACACGAAGAAATTCCCTGTGCCGCTTACGTCACTTATCACTTCTCCTTTTGATCAAAGTTGTGTGTGTTTCTGCTTTGTTTTCTTTACTGAACCATAAAGTCTTCAAGGTCAGAGTCCATGTCTGAGTCAGTGTTGTATACCCCACAGCAGGTTGCTTATTATTGGCGCTTAATACCATGTTTGAATGGATACAGAGACACAGAATGAGGTGCCAGAAGGAGGGAAGAAGAGACACAGAAGGAAGTCATGAGCAGCTTCTGACATTTGATGCAGGCTTCTGGCTTCTCTCTAGAATACTCCCACAGTCATTAATGCACCTGCTGATGGACACAGGCCTGGAACTCACAGAGCAGCTCAGGACAGGAGGCTGTGGGTTGGGAATGAGTAAGAAGTGGGAGACAGGTGTACTAGAGGTAGCAGCGAAAATACCCAAGAAGCTAATGAACTTGGGTGTGGGCACAGCCCCTCTGATGGCCCAACCCCAGCCACCTTTCCCCTCTCCCACCATAACACTAAATCCCCAGACCACAGGGCTTTCTAAGGGGAGGGTGGCCTTGCCTATCAATGGGCCTGACCTATAGTGCACTCTCCATTTAAGGGTCGATGGCTTTGTTCTCCACAGACTGAGCTGGGAGCTGGGAGGACCCATGTCCCCTTCCTGAGGAATGCTAACCAGCATCCTCAGAGCTGTCGTTGTGAGTTCCCTGTGGAGGAAGGACCTGTAGCGCACTGTGGGCTCTCAGCAGTGTCCATCTGTCCCAGAGCCCCAGGAGTGGCGGCTCCAAGGGCTCTGGCTCTGGCTGCCCCACGGGGGCTCACCCAAGGGGCAGCTACTCAGCCATCTGAGATGTTGAACAGCTCCCGCATGAGCGGGGTAGCGAAGGGGTGTATGTCCTGGATGCTCAGCAGCCGCTTGGTGTGGTAGGCGTTGATGCTGCGAAGCTCAGTGAGTATAGCCATGATCTTCAGGAACAGGAACCTGCAGGCCAGTCAGAGGAAAGGTTGGGGGTGCAGCCCGCCCTTGTCCCGACCCGCCAACCCTGGGACCGCTCTGAAGTTGCACAAATTTGGAGGTTTTAATCTCAGGACATCTCAGGTCAGCCAAGAGACAAGGCTCGGTTGAATTCCTTAAGCTTCTCTTTCAGCCTGCAGATGAGAAGGGCAGAACAGCCTGGGGGACTGAGGTGTGGACCTGCACTCTCCACTCGCACCTTATCCTCTTGTACACAGAGACTTCCGTGGGAAAACCTAAGCATTGCAGGCACCAAGCGCACAGGTCAATTTGGGGGGAAATCAGTGCCTTGGTTAATGGCTGGGGGTCAAGACCGGGTGGAGTAGTCATGGGGGCAGAGGCTGCAGGCTGCAATCACTTCCTGGATATAGCCTGGGATCTAGCATCTGGGCCACACCTCATGCCTCAGTTTCCCCGTGATGCCTTCTGGCTCCATACGGGGGAGGACTGAGCAAATCAAGTCACCCCAGCATCCCAGGATGCCAAGCTCAAAAGAACAGGCCAAGTAAAGACTCGAGGTTTAGGTTCACACCAGCATACCCAGTGCTGACCTTCACCCGCCATGACCTGGGCCTGGGGGCACCAGGTCACAGGGACTGCAAGGGCCAGTGAAGGGGTGGAAGCCCCTGTCTGGCCAAGCCCTGAGCAGCCTTCCCCTTTGGGTTGTGACCAGAAAAAACTAAGGCGTTCCCTATCCCGTTTGCTGTGTTTGTCCTGGGTGGTTGTTAGTGCTGCTTAGAGTGTGGGCTGTGGGCTTGGTCCACCTGGGTCCACCTCCAGCTTCCACCTGTCTGGCTGTGGAACCCGGGGCAGTCACCCTGAGCCTCCAGTCCCTTGCGGGGTGGTAGTGGCACCCACTACGTGAGGCTGTTTTCGAGATTAAAGGCGACAATACATGTAAACTGCTTGGCACCAGGGTTGGCACTTCTCAACAGCTGTTATAGATTTATTTACTATTATCATCATGATTGTTATCTTTATCATCATTCTGGTTATTGCTGGCTATTGCTAGAAGAGCCTGTAGGAGCCTCAGGAGAGTACCCGGCTGTCCCCACCCCTTGATGACAAGAGTGTGGGGGGCTCTGGGCAGAGGAGAGCTGTGTCTCGGGGAACAGTGTCCTGTCACCTGGGTGTGGCCTCTGGGCCTCCTCAGGTTTCTCCATTGTTGGGCTGGAGCTCAGGCTGCCTGGGCAGGAGGCCTTAGGGGAGGTCACAGCACAGGCCCCAAAGTCCTGGTCATCAGAGGCTGCCCCAGGAGCACCTCCAGTCTGCTCTCCCCAAGAGGCCCAGAACAGGCAGGGTATGGAGGGCAGGGCGGCCAAGGGACCCCCTCGCACTCTCCATGCTTGCTGCTCACCGGTGGGCGGGCTGGGGCCGGTTGCACTCGATGTAGACCTTCAAGGTGATGGCGAATCGCTCCTGCAGCTGGTCCACCACCCTGCGCTGCACCACGCCGGGGCGGTCTGGTGGGGAAGCGAAGGCAGTGTGGTGCCAGCAAGGCCGTGGGGGTAAAGACAAGCTCGGTGCCCCCCAGAGAGGGCAAATGGCCAGCTAACCACCATCCAGAACCGGAGACACCCAGGCAGGGAAGTGAGGGAGCACTAGGAAGGCTGTGCCTCACCCCACTGGCCTGAAGAAAAGCCAGCTAGAGGCCCCATCCCGCCTGTGCAGTGAGTGGGGGGCAAGCCCATAGGTTGGGACCTTCCCCGCGGCACAGAGGAGGGGCTGCTGCCCCCTGCAGCTACGGCTGAGGGGGTGAGCAAGCCTGGGGAGCCAGGTGGGACAGGCGGGGCCTCACCTGGGGAGAAGAGGGAGATGGCCTGCATCAGCACGTACTCCTCCTTGTGCAACTGCAGCTTCTTCAGCATGTAGTGGAATTTCAGCAGGGGCTCCAGGAGAAGCTGCTGGAAGCTACCTGTGGGTGGGGGGAGGGGGGAGGGGCAAACTTCTCAGGATCTGACCCAAGACCCAGATTTCCCTTACCAAGTTCTGTTTTCCCATCGCCCAATCTTCTGCCCTACGATCCCAGGACCCGCATATCCTGGCACGGCCCCTCTCCTCCCTCCACGGTGTGTTCCCCTCCCTCTGCCAGGGCAGGCAGGGGCTCTCAGGCACCTGCAGGGTCTTCCAGGCAGTAGGACAGCCGGCCACACTCCCAGGTCCCGGTCTCTGCGTTGAACACTGTGTTGAATCTCAGTTGGCACAGCTCAAAGGTGGCCCCCTTCAGCAGGGAGATCTGGTCCTCAATGGGCAAGTCCCTGGAGTGAGGACGGGAGGGGATGCCAGCTTCCTGGGAAGCCACCACAGGCCAGCACCTACTCCCATAGTCCAGAAATTGGGGGTGTTGGGGGGAGGGGAGGGTGGGCTCCTACCCCTGAGGATTCCTGCAGTTGCTTTCCGATTGCCTCCAATCTCTCCCCTCACAATCCAGCCAAGCAGATAACTCCTCCCTTCCACCTTCCTCTAGTCTCCTGCTACCTTCAGGGACTCTCCACTGCCAACGTAGCTTGGCATCCAGGGTCCTTACAGCCTGGTCCCATCTCCTCCAACTCCCTGCACAGCTGCTGACCCACAGCCAATGCCTTGGCTCCTGGTCCCTCGCCTCATACTTTCTGCCTCAGTTTCCCCACTTGGAATGATTGCCCCTTAACTCCATTTAAGTAAATCCTGCTAGCCCTTCAGGCCAAGCTGTCTTTGTGCCTCCTAGAAGTCTTTCCGGAATGCAGGTGCCCCTCCTTTGGCACAAGTTCCATGCAGCGGGGATATTTGCTTCCTGCTGTCTATTTGGATTCGATATTCCTACTGTTTCTCTCCAGGCAGCCTGGATGCCTTGAGCCCCACCCCCAGCACTGAGCACAGGCCCAGCCACAGTGGCTGCCTCTGATATTCATGGTTAGATTGACACCCCTCCCAACCCGAGAGGGGCCCCAACTCCCCATTGAAGGAGCCCGGGCGAGAGGTCGTTCTTGGCTGGCTCTGGACGAGGCCCTCTGCCCGGCTTTGCTCTCCTCAGGAATTCTGTCCCTTGTTTTTCCTCACACCCCACCCTTCTTTTAGATCCATGATGCCGAGCAACAAAGGCCATGAAACTGCTCTTCTTCTGTGTCTCCCCAGGGCCTGGCTCAGCACCTGGCAGGTGGCCGGCTCTGAGCTCCACACTCTGTGCTTCCGGAGCTGGCCTCTCTGATCAGCTGTGACCCTGTGCAAGTCCCTCCACCTTACTGAAGCTCAGTTTTCTATCTGTAGAATGAAGGTGATAATAACCCCTACCTCTTGGGGTGGTTGTGCTCAAAACTGTGGTCACAAGAAACAGCGAGTGCCCTCCACCCTGGTGTTAAATTGTGGGTCATCGGATGTCAGCGGGGATCCACCAAGGTCCACGTGTGTAAGGAGGCCTCTGTGCCTGCTCCCTTGACCTAATTTGCCACAATCTGAACCCCACTCCAGCCTGTGGCCACCCTCATCCCATTAAGTAAGCGCTGTGCGTCACCCACAGGGTCACAGGGGAGCCTGTGGGCTCCTGGAATATGACCTGCCCTCTGCTGCTGATGGAATCAGGGGCTCCTTGTGTAAGGCCAGGTGGCCGACCCCAGGAAAGATAAGCCCAGTGCCACCTCCAGCCTTGACAGACCACATCTCATGAGGCTGTGGTGGCCACCACGCCAGGAGGGTCCAGGGCTGCTCGCTAACCAGTTGCTCTCGGTTGTTGCCTCCACGCCCAGCTCTGAGGAGTGCCGACCCTTTGGTTCTCAGGACCACCCATCCTCCTCAGGCCTTCCCAGCCTTCTCTTGGCAGCAGACTGCCAGAGAGCCAGCGTCTGTTCCTGCCTCTCTCCTTCTCCCTCTGGACTTCCTTCTCTTTCCTTCCCACTCCTTCTGTGCTCTGGAACTTCTGATTGCTGCCCTTTTGGGGTGAATCAGGGAGAGGAATTCCTATCTGAATGGCCACCAAGTATGTGCTGGATGCTCTGCAGATGTTGTCTTGTATGACAGCCCTGCAAGGTAGGCATTATTAGCTCCCATCCAGCAGGTGGGGAGGCTGAGACACAATTAGGTTAAATGGCAGGCCCACAATCACAAAGCGAATGAGCCCTACAGCGAGGGCTCCATTCCCCAATAGCGCCAGGTGCCTCCGGGGACAGGGATAAGGGAGGGTCTTTTGGCACCAACATCCCCCAAATTCAGACCCTTTGAATCTGCTGGCCATTTCCCGCTCCTTTCCACACCCATCCACCCAGCCCCCGTATCCTACCTGAAGTGGGAGATGACTTTGGCAAAGTTGATGATGCCTTTGAACATGTAGGTGGACATGTCAGCCATGTGGGGCAGCAGGGAAAAGATCTCTTTCCCGCTGCTCTCGGCTGGGGGTTTGTAGTTCCAGATGCTGCCGTCCTCCCCCCGCAGCTGCAGAGAGAACTTCACTGGGTACAGATCTTTCCTGATCTGTCTCCACTTGGCAGCTTTTTCCCCTGATGGAGACTGCAAATACTCTGGAAACTCATGGCCACCGCTAAGCATCTCAGGCAGCTGGGAGATGAGCCCGGGAGATAAGAGAAGAGAGAAAGACGGCACGTATTCTCCCAAACACGTTCTCATACAAGCCCCCGACGGGCACCCACAGCCACAGCTGCAGCCTGAGAGGATGCACGACTGCAGGCGCGTGTGCACACCGGCCCCCCCCCCCCCCACACACACAGAGAGCACTTGTTTCTTCTCTCTGGTCTTCTCGCATCAGGTGGTGCACTTTCTGGATCTGTGAAATACTGGTCCTTTACACCCCTGCCTGGTCAGAGATGGGTTTGCTCCCTGCCCCAGTGGAAGGTGAGGGGAGGCCTCCACCATCCGTGTGTCCCAAGCATCCCTGACCTTGGGCTCAGGAGACTCAGAGAGAAGGATCTGGAGCTACAGATGGAAAGAACAGACGGCGCCTCTGGGCTAACTGGTTCTCTGGGCTGGGCAGGTCACCTGAGACACCCGTGAGCACCAGAGGAGGAGGCACTGGGTCAGACGTGGTTAACATTGCTGAGGTCACTAACCGTTCTTAGATCAGTAAAACCAGTTCACAAAAGTCACACCCCCAGCAGGTCCTGACCCTGTCCTCATAAAGCCCTGAATGCCAGCAGCCCTGGGGCACCTCAGCTTTCCCTCCCTTTATCGCTCAGACCAATTTCTCCTGCTGTGGAGGGAGAAAGCAGACAGTCTCAGACCTGAGTGTGCAGCAAAATCACCTGGGGGTCTTGTCACAACGCAGACCCCTAGGCCCCACCCCAAGTTTCTGATTCAGGAGGTCTGGGGTGACCTGAGAACCTGCATTTCTACAAGTTCCCAGGTATTGCTGCCGCTGGTCCAGGGAGCACACTTGGAGAACCCCCGGAGTGAGATTGGGGTTTCAAGGAGCTGGCACAGGAGCTGAGCCAGCTCTAAAGCCTCATACCCGGAAATTCTTGAAATGGGAGAAGGTGGTGTCAAAGGTTTTCTTCTGAGCATCCATCAGCTCCCTGATCATCATCTGCTGCTCTTCTGTCAGACCCTTGGCTCCGGGGGGCTGAGTCCCGATCCGTTCCCTCTTCTTCCTCCTGATCAAAGCCCGCCTCTGCTCCACAGCCGCGTCGGACATGATCACTGCAGGGACAGCCAGGAGCAAGCTCGGTCACCTGCCAGAAGCTCGGCCCCTCTTAACCCCCTCCAGGCAGCGGTAGGGAGAGGGCTGCTGACGAGAACCAGCCCTTTTCCAGACTTGAGAGGTCTGTGGGCTCCTCTGGAGAAACACTTGGGCAAGGACGGAGGGATGAGGTGTGGCTGGTGTGCTGCCCGAGGCTGTGGGGTTTGTAACAACTTTGTGGAACAGTGGGGAGAGTGGGGGCTTCCGAACCAAAAGGCGCTGGGTTTGAGTGACGGCTTTGCTGCTCTCTAGCGGCAAGACCTTGACAAGCTCTGTCACCTCTCTTGCCTTCAGTTTCCTTCCTGGTTATCTGGAGTGACAGTGCTCACCTCACACTGCTGTTACAATGAGACACTGCATGGAAAGTGCCTAATACGGCTCCTGGTACATAATGGCTGTTGAGTAAATGCACCTAATATTGCTCTTTTCTGGAGGATCAGACACCAACAAGACTCCTCAGAGTCCCCCAAGGCCCCCCGGCTCTCCAAGACCCCGGAAGCTGGGGCTACTGCTTAGCAAGAAATACCAACTCTGGCCACTTCCTATGTGGCCTGGAGCCTTAGGGTCTTCCATGGATTTCTGGAGCCCACTTGTGTGTGCAGAGCAAAGCTGTGGGGAACTTTGCGGGAGAGAGCAGGGACGGCCAGTGAGGGCCTCACTCGCAGCTGGTCTGTGGGAGGCTCTCTGCCCACATGCCCAGGGAACTTGGCTCCTGAAAGAGGCCGCCCACTGCCTAGGGTCACTCTGTGATCGATGGAGATAAATATGCACTGGAAGCTTCCAGCCTTTTCCCCATCAGTCTCAGAGTGACCTGGGGGCACAATTATACCAAAGCTTGACAGGTAGAATGAGAGCACTCCATGTCACCTGTCTGCAAACAGTTCCTCTGGAAGACACCAGGTCTGGGGTAGTGGGTGGGCACTAGCCGCTGGAAGGTTGGGGGTCATGTCACACCATGTGTCTCCAGCTTCCCTCCCTCAAATTGACCTTCCCCAATTTGGTTAAAACATTTATGAAGGGGACAAAAAGAATCCCGTTAAGAGCCACTGAGGGGAGAGAGGGGCACGACACTGGCCAGAGATAAGCGCACCTCCCAGAGCAGAGACTAAAGTGCCCTCCACGTCTCCAGTGCCCACAGGATGGGGCCATGGTGTTGTGGGCGGCTGAGCTGTTGCCCACAGGCCACAGCCGACCCATGCGCCTGCGCACATGTGGACACTCGCAGTGCAGGTCTGCACGCATGCCCATCACATCCCCACCGTCCATTCCTGCTCAGCCTGGGCACGCCCGTATCAGGTCATAGTGCCTATGCACGCCCCCCACACCCGCCCGTGGCACATCCCGCTGCTCACTCTCCTTCTTCATGCCGCTCTCCAGGCACTTGCGCAAGCGGCAGGCCTGGCATTGTCGCCGGGTCTTCTGGGTGATCTCGCAGGTGCCCTTCCGGAAGGGGCACCGCAGCCGGGTATTGCGTTTCATGGCCCTCCTGGGGGAGAACAAAGAGCGGAAGGTAGGCTGCAGGGGACACGCCTGGCTCCCTGAGCCAGGGGCTCCAGGCCACACCGCTCTCTCTCTCCCTGTCCCCTCCCCACACTGGGGACACTAGTCACACCCTCTGTGGGCCCTGCCTTTGCCTCTGAGTTGGGTGGGGCTCGCAGGAGAGCGACAGGGGGGCCCCCCTAGAGGAGTCTCTGGAGGAGGGAGAGCTGGGAGGAAACGGTTCCTGCGACATTCCCACTGTGCTTTTGACAGGCACCGGCTGCCCGTGCCATTTTCAGGGTGCTTCAGCGCCAGGCCCAGCCCCAGTGCCTGTTCCTCCCCTCTCACCTCCTCGCCCTTGTCACCGGGCACCCCAGGAGGACCTGCGCCATGTTTCCATGCAGGTGGCCTCTTCCTGGATTTCTCCTTCTTGGAAGAGGGAGCCAGAGGAAGCCTGGCCCCAGGAATGTAGGAAACATAAGAAGCACCCTCCCCTCCCCAGCCTCCATCCTAGATGGGGGGCCAGGGGCAGCTGGAGGTGGGGGTCAACTATGGGGAAGCTTTCCACCTCACTGGATAACAGCTTCCCTGTTGGAGAAGCAGATTCTCCTGACTGACCTAGGGGAGCCAAGAGGTTCAGAGCCCTGTGACAGTGGAGTATGCGGGCCCTGCAGCCACACGGCCTGGCACAGCTGCCCCAGGTAGGGAGACACTGGGGTCAATGCCTTTTAGAGGCCCCAGCACAACCACCCTCTCCCCACTGCCCAGGCATCCTGAACTTCCCACAGAAGACCCAATCAGTGCGGCCCTAAAGTTATTTCCCCCTTTTCACAGCTGAATGGAAAGAAGCCAATTCTTCCTCAGCTCTGGCCTCTGGTTCTGGTCCCGCAGTGTGGAAAATGAGGAACGACAGGTGTGGCTGCAGAGTGGGCCCTGGGGGCTGAACCCGGAGGTTGAGCTGTGCTCCTGATGACCGACCCGCAGGCTTGAGCACAGAGGCCTGATGCCTGAGGCCCGGGGCGAGTGACCAGCCCAGGGGGCATGTTCTTCACTGGCGCCACCCCCTCCCCTGCCAAACCCTGATCTTCCTTGAGAGTCCACCCAGAATGGTAAAGGGGGTTGCTCACGCTCATGAACAATGTGCTATGGATCAGATGCAGGGCTGGATGTTGTGCAGAGCTTTGCAAATCCAGTTCTCACACTCTATGGAATCCATCACGTCATCTGTCTGATGCAGAGGAGGAAACTGAGTCTTTGAGAAGATGGATTGCTATCCCTCCAGGTAGAGGACAAGCTGAAATCTGAAGCCAGGTCCGCGATACCAAAATCTCAGCTCTTACCACTACAATATTCTGCCTCGCTCTGGGAGTCCCAGGGCAGCACCTGAGTGGAGGGAGGCGAGCAGAGGACCCCACACCCCAAGGCAGTCTACACGGATGCTGCCGGCAGAATCCAGATCTGGCTCAGATGTCCGCCTCCTCCGTGTGGCCATGTTGGCATACGCCCAGCTCAAGAATATGTCTGGTGCTCTTGCTAGCGACCAGTTCAGGAGTAGGCTGGGGCCCAGTTTGAGCCAATGTGAGGTGAGGGTCTTCTGGGGGGGTTTCCTTGTTCTTAGAGAGAGGAGGAGGTGGGCCTTTCTGATGCTTGGCTGAGCATTGTGGTTGCTGCCCGTGGCCCCTGCGTGATGCTGCCCCAAGGGCAGCAGGCTGAGATCAGAGCTCTCACATAGGATGGCAGAAGAGAAAAATGAAAAGAACTGAGCTGCTGAACTCACCAACCCTGAAGCCTTCAGACTTCTAGAAATGAGAGGTAACATGTTTTCCTTATTGTTGAACCACTTTGAGTGGAGTGTTCTGCTGCTGAAGGCAGCCTGACATAGGGGCTGTGTCAAGCCTCTGCTAGAACCCACCAACATGGGCGTTCATTTCTCTCTGGAACACAGCCACCTCTGGACCCGCCCTAGGACAACCCAACCCCATGGTACCCGAGAACTGCTCAAGCCTGACCACGTAAGCGAAGCTGGAGTGTCTGGGGGCACACTGAGCTGCTGCAGTCCCTCCCTGGGCTGATCCCAGCCTGGACGTCCTCCTGTGGGTTCTAGTCCCCCACCCAGCTGACCAGTGGCCCATCTTTGGTGGGATTACAGGGTGGGCCTTGGCTCTAGGGTTTGTTTCCATCTGAATGTCCAGCCACCAGGAAGAACTCCGCAGAGGCCAAGCCAGGCTGGCTGTCCTGAAATGCATGAGGGTCCCAAGCGTGGCCCCTGATGGGAGCTGCTCTCTCACACCAGGCCCTCCCGAGGGCAGACTGAGAACCTTTCTCACACAGTCGTTTCTCTACTCCCCTCCTTTCCTGGTCGGCTTCCCTTCCTCTTGGTCAGAGCCCTGCATTGAGCTTTGTTCTTTCTCTTTCTTCAGCTGACTACGTGAGCCTTCTGTCCCGCCTGCCTTGCTGTGAGCTGGGACCTTTTAGTCCTTAATTTTTGGGACCTCTCTGTCTGTTTCTAGGTGAGCTTGTCTTGTTGTCGTCTTCATTTACTTTATGCCATTCTTTACTGAACGACCACTCCAGAAGACTGATCTGAACACTTGCATTTAGGATTTTCAAATTCTTTCCTCTTTTACTGACTGATTTGCTATTTTACTCAAGAATACATAGAGAAACAAATGGGTATCTTAATGGAAAGGGACCTTTCCAGGGTAGGGGGAAGACAGAAGATGAAGGAGCCTCTGAGAGACAAATGACTCTCCTGAGAGCCATTTGGATGGGCCACCAGCCCCCACTCTGAACCTGGGAAACAGGTCAAGCTGAGGCCCTGAGATGGTACCCATTGGGCCAATGGCAGAACCTTAGTTAGATGTGACCAGGTGTGTCAGAGGTGGCAGGTGGGTAAAGGTTGACAGGTAACTGTACCTGAAAAAGCCCTTGCATCCTTCACATGTCATGACATTGAAGTGATAACCAGTGGCCTTGTCCCCACATACACGGCAGATTTGGGGAACCCCATCTCTCTCATGGGCATTGATGGCGGGCTTTCTAGGAGTGGAGTCTGCTTCTTCGTAGCGCACAACGTCAGCATGGTTCCAGCTTTCTTCAGATCTCACCTCCAGCTTTGCTGCTGGGCCTCTTGGACTAGAATTGAAAAAACCACAGGAATGAGAGGGCTGGGAAGGGATGTGCAGGGGCATCCCTCACTGTGTGTCACTCTCATTTGTTTCCGTGGACCCAAGAGCTGCCTCTTGTGGAAGAAATGGGGATGGAGTCGGAGTTGTTCTAAAGAGAGATGTAACCATGACATTTTGTATACAATAATACGGCCCTAGAATAAGATACATGAACAGGAACATGGGAGAGAGAAGGGTGAGAGGAAGACATGAGAAGGAAAAAGAAAATGCTATATCTGGGTTGGCTCATAGAAGTCATACTTGAATGGACTAAGATCTAGAGGCCATGAGCTGGTCAAAGGCCTGAAGACAGAAGGCCTGAACAGGGAGCAGCCCAGGGGACAGGACACTTGTTCAAGATGGTTTCTGGGATTGGGGAAATCTATGGGGGGTGGCCCTCAGGTATGTTGTGGCCCAGGCTCCCAGACAGAGCTGGAAAGGCTGGGCAGAAAGAGGGTTTCAACTGAATAACCAAGCAGGTGGGGAGAAAGATAGAGAGGAGTCAGGCTCACGATGTGGGGAGAAAATGGCCCAGGTCCCAGTCAAGCTGGGGCGTAAGTGAATAATCAGAGAACTTGTACCTTCTAACAGAGCTGTACTCAAGATGTCTTCCCCAGGCAACTGTCACCTAGAGAGTGTGACTTGAATTCTACTTGGAATAGGCACCGAGGACAGTGAGTGTTCTAGTGAGTGAGGAATTGGGAACTGTCCTATTCACTGCGGTCCCAAAAGTCTCTCTGGGCACTGATTGCTGAGGGCCACCACACCACAGATGATCTTGCCTTTTCTAAAACCAAGATAAAACTTTTTGGAAAACTTCAACATGACAGATGAGAGCTGACAGTTTCACCTGTAAGGATGAATTAGAAATTAACCTGGTCCTCTGACTCTGGCCACCAGAAAACTGCAAATAAAATAGGCTGACTGGAAACTTGAACTGAACAGGTCTGTATGGGAATCTCCCCTGATTTTTCAAACCATAATCCTGACCTCGTATAGGTTTGTAGACAAAATGTGTACTTGGAGTGTTCACAAAAGCCTCAAACTGAGAATTTGACTTAGTGATCTTGGGTTGGTAGTGCTCCCAGACACCCACAGGAGCAGATATGGATCCTCCTCTCTAGAGGAACTCACGTTCCCCCTAGGCACAAAGAGTCGCATAAGTAATTTTCAAGAAATATCTGCAAAAACTCATAAATCATGAGTCAAAGAACAATGTGGCACCATGAGCAAAAGTCAGCACAAAAACAATTTAGAACAAACCTAGACATGCAAAGACTCCCTGAATTATCAAACACAGAATACGTTTAAATAAATAGAAAATGTTGAAGATATAAGAGCAAAGGACCATAACACTGACCAAGTAGGATTGAAAAATGAATAAAAATTGACTATAAAATCTGAACCAACATTGACTATATAAACTAATAATAATAATGTCTTTGGAGTTAGGAAAAGCAAAACACAACTAAAATATGCAACAACACCTAAGTCAGAAGACGGATGATCACAGTGAAAGTTTTCTAGGGTTCTGTATTGCTGAGGGAGGAAAAGATAATAAGTAACTCAATTTTGATTAGTAAAGTATGCTTGTCAAAATTTCCAAGGTAACCCCTAAAAGTCTAGAAATAGAATGCATAACTTGGAAGCTAATAGAAAGGAAGAAATGGAAGAAGAAGGAAAAATCCCACTAGAGAGATTAAAAGAAACTCGAAGAGTGAGACAAATAGAAAGCACAAGATAAGATGGTAGAAATAGCAAATACATTGATAATTAAATGTAAATATATTAAATGTGGCCATTAAAAGACACTGAGAAAAATGGTGTCAGCATGTCAGGCTGGGCCAAGCTAAGATTCAGGATTAGTAGTTTGGGGACAGGCTTTATGTTGGAGAATAACGGATGGGGCAGATACTAAAATGGTAACTAACAATTATGGAAACTCACAGTGTTCTAGGTCTTTTGCAAAAGGTAACTCATTTATTCATCATAACAATTATCATAACATTTATCATTTTACTCAACAAACGTGTTTGAGCATCTCCCACACACCAGATACCCTGCCATGTTGGATCGTTTTTCAGGTCCTACGAGAGCTAGAAGTCACTCTTTTGGCCTGCTGTAAAACTCTCTAACGACCCACAGGCACAGAGTGTTCCAAAATGAAAGAGCATCACAGGAAGGGAAAATTTTATATGTAAGGTACTGTTTCAGAATGCACATTGGAGGAGTACTACCTTCCTTAATTTTCAGCTTCATTCAGGAGCCAGTATGAATAGTAGAATCTGAGGCTGTGGAGACGGTTGGCAGAGATTCTGCACATAAATTATCAGCTTTAGACAATCAGAGATAGTGAGATGGCACTTCCTCAGCAATCAGTACAAATGCTGTTCCCTAGAAGGGAAGTGATGATCACACTATGACTGCGTGAATCACAGGAGAAGCTCAGCGGATGGCATACACCAAGAAGATGAAAGAAATGTCTCCACAAGGACAGAGGAGAGATGTTTACTTAAACTGTGTCTGATTAATACAGTCCCCAATGCCTGAATGAGAAGGTATTAGAATTAATGCCAGAAGCTCATTCTATAGCATTTTTATATTTGGTTTTGTTTTGCCTAAATTTACTGTTAAATAAGCAGACACTGGCACATTCTGTAGTCCAGTCTCTCATAGCCTTATGAAGTCCCAGTTAGAGAACTCATGACAGCTATTTTCCAAAGATGGCCCCCAGTCAACCACACCTCCTGGGATTCCCACCCTCGTGCAGTCCCTCCATGATGAATCAAGGATGGTCTGGGATTTAACGGCGATGTGACACTGTGCCAGGTCTGGGCTCAAGCTGTAAGAAGGCCTGGTAGCTTCTGCTTTTGCCCTTTGAGGAGCTCTAAGACACCATGTGAGAAAGTCTGGCTATGCTGTTGGAGCAGCAGCCCAAAGGGACCAGGCAGAGAGGCCATGTGAGAAGGGAGAGCCTTGAGACGACACGGATGAGAGAGGCCCAGCCTTCCAGCCTTCCAGCCTTCCAGCCATCCCCACCAACCTCCGGTCATGTGAGCAAGCTCTCTTGGACATGGCAGCCCAGTTAAGCCTCCAGCCGATGCCATGGGGAGCAGAACTCCCAGCTGAGCCCCATCAACACACAGAATCATGACAGGAAACAAAATGGTGGTTGGTTTAATCCAGTAAGTTTTGAGGAGGTTTGTTACACAGCAAGAGATAATGGAAACGGAAATCCTGGAGTTCCACTAGAAATAGGTCGGCGCTAGGGTGGGGAGTGCCAGCTGACACCTGCAGTCCTGACCCTATTCCACTCTTACACTAGTCTTCCTTACAGAACGGTGCCCTGTGGGCAGGAAATGACAGTGACTAGATGACTGCTATGTGCCAGCCACATGTCTCTTTCATGTGAATTTCACAAGCCCAATTAGATGCGTAGTTTCAATTGATGCCAGCTGTATTTACTCTGAGAGTTGCACCTGCTCCTCACTGTGCCTGGTATTCTGTGAATCTAGCCAGCAGAGGATTGAAATGACTGCCTCTTGTATTCAGTGAAAGTAAAACACTTGTTCAGTGACGGCTTTTCAAACATAATTGTAAAATTCAGTATTTAGGCTGAATACTAAAGACAAGATATATTCTCAGCAAGGAAGAGCCATCAGTAAATGAATAAATTAATGAATTTAGTGTTTCTACACGACTGGGGCTCACTGCATTGGGCACACGTGGCCCCACCCCCTCTCTGGGTAGGTGATTGGTTGACATTGCTTAGCTAGTGGGAGGTGGAACCAGCAATTTGAATCCAGGTCAGCCTGACTCCAAAACCTGTGTTCTTAATTCAACATTACGCTGCATCCTTCACAAGACTTGTTTCTGAATGGGTGAACCACTTATTAAACTCCCTTCCTTTCTATGCAAGCTTTTTCCCAGGCAGTTCATTTCCGAGTCCCTCCACGTCATGTGATTCCTTTGGTGTAGCTGTCTGTTCTTGGGTGGAAAGTGATTTCCTGAGGCCCTCAGTTCTTGCCATCTCTACGCTAGTTGTAGCAGAAGGGACCGAGGAGCCTTGCTGCCCCTCCTGCCACATCCAGAGGCACCTTGTCCGCCCCGCTCTGAAGGGCTGCAGGGCCTTCCTTCCACATGAGAGAAGCATTCGAGGTTGTAATGGCCGTCCACTGGGTCTTGACTAGTCGCTGGGAGGCTTCCTCTGTATCCCACACCCTTGACTTTCTGAGCAGAGGCTCGTGGAAGCAGATGGCCACGTCTAAAAGAACCTGCAGCTTCTCTGGGGTTGACGCTGCCTGTTCCCTGCACATGCAGTGGTTCTCAGCCTCTGTGTTTTAGTCACTGAGGCTTTTTCTTCTGTTTTTCATCAGCCAGGGCCTTTTACTGAGCCCTGAAAAACACCAGCTTTGGCTTAGTCACAAGGGCCCATTGGAGAGCTTTAAGGTGGCCTACACATTGAGGATGGCCCCCCAGTGTGCTGCTGCCTAAGAGATGGTTGAAATTACAGAAGGCTCCGTCCTGCGCGCGTGCAGCAGTAGCCTTACCAGGCTGATGGACATATACACAGTGACTTCATTTGCTAAGGGCCCCAGAGCCCCTGTTAAATTAGGGAGAAGGGAGGTCCACAAATGATACACACATTCTCATGGGAATGACTCATCGTGACCAAACAGGACCCAGCTGTCCCACAGTCTCCTGGAGGCCAGAGGACTTTGGTTTTTGCTCCCTGGGGCTGCAAATGTAGTGACATCACCCTGGCCTCATTGTCAAGAGGGCCTGGTCCCTGCCACTGACCCTGGACTAACTCGCTCTACTCACTAACTTCTCTGCTGCTCAAGATCCTCGTAGATAAAATGCATCCTGCCGAAGAGGCCGACATGAACTTCGGGGTGAAGAGGGAAAGAAGAGTGCACTGTTACGTGGGATGTCGCCACGGGGGCAGATCTGGGACTTGGGGAGAAA